TTATATATATGTATATAATATGTTTGAATAATCAACAATAGTGTATGTAAAAATAAGAATGAAATGAGATTAAATATAATCTTAGATATTTGATACTTTGTATCATATTTAGAGTCTGCGGTTCTTTGTGATTATCGGAGGAACCAATTTCCGTACGATTTGGCGAATCGCAGATCTGCAGACGTCTTCTACAGACATCTTCTGCAGACGTCTTCTGCAGATTATGCGCTTGGCTGTATTACGAATTAGACTCGACAATTACAGGGAGTCGGATTACCGTAAATCTTGTCTTCACATTAGATATAAAGGTAATTAAATTTACGTGAGCATTTGATATCGAATATGATTATAAATATGTTATTTAAAAGAAAAGATCTTTTGTGCACACAAGTAAATTATATCTTAATTAAAGGGTCAATTAAAAGATATTTCACGACACACAGAATTATTGTCTATAACAGATTATTAATCATTTCATGAATTTTATATAATAAAGTTTTTCATAATACTTTGAAAATTTAAAAACATTGTTCTTAAGAGTTAAAAATTGTATAATTATAACATATATACATATAACATATAACATAAATAATGAATTGCTTAAAAACAAAATGTCCAAAACCATCTCTTTTATCTATATATAGGATAATATCCTCTTTCTAAAGTCTCGTAAATTTACGTGCATATCGTTTTCACCGAAAAATCGTACACAATTCTGTATATAAACAATGCTCGATGCGTATCGATTTTTCGACTCTCGCGATTTCGTTTGCCGACTCTGTTAAATCGAATCACGCCTGTCTGTGTCCGCATCTTCTCTCCGAAAGCACATTTGCATAGGTAGAAATAATAGTATCGCCATCTTATGTCAACCGCACATGGCGCGAATGCTGGAGATGAAATATTTCAAGTACACGTAACAGTGCAGAGGAAAAGAAGCGGAGATTTAATCGCGCGCCGATACACACACACACACACACAGGGATAATTAATAGTATATATGAGCAAGTTTTTTTTTTATAATTGAGAATTCCATTTACAGGAACTATCTCTCTTTAAATAATATATCGTATGGTATGCCATTATATTATCTTTCTCTTATCGATAGGCATATTATATATTATATATTCAACAGAAAAAATGTTTATACGCACACACACTCTAACGATATAATATAAAATATAATAAAATATGTTTTGTTAAGAGCGTACGAAACAAATAATGCAAATTTCCATTCACGGAATGCGAAGGTAGATATCTATATTCGTCGCATAGCGCCTAGAGGCTATCGGCTTGACACGGGGAAGGGAAACCACGAGCACCACTGCCACTGGATCCTATTTGTGTCAAACAATATAAAGTAGATAGCACATGTACGTGCCCGCAGCCTCGGTGCAGTTGCATAAGCGCCGCAGGGGATACGCGTGCGGAAACACGGGAGCATTGCTGCTGCTCCGCGAAGAGATCACCACTTTGCGCTTTAATGAAATTCAATTTGTGCCCGGACGTACACGGGATTATACGTTTCGAATTCCAATATGAAATATTGTGTCTCGCAAAAAAATCCCACCGTTGCGTCTCTTTTAAATTTTAAGACGAAAAATCGATAAATATTTAATCAGAAACTTTTGTTTCTCGAGATTTTCTGGTAATTCTTTTGAAATATGAAAGTAATTTTATTAATTAATTTTTTTTTGTTATGTATATCTAGATATTTATCAAAATAGGCTCGATTTTCTAATAATTTAAAGTTTATAAAACTTGCACAATAAATATTCAATCAATATATTGTAAACTATTTTGTATAAATATGAATATATTTACGCGTCAATATTATAAATCTATGAACGATTAAGTTTTTTATTCCTCATGGTTAATTTCTTATCAATTATTTTCTTACAATTAAAAATATTAGGCTTTTCCTTTATTGAAAATTTTAAAAGCTTATTTTTCAGTTTTGATATATAAGTTTCTCGTATAAATAAACGTGTATAAATAAAATATGATTACGCCGTCTGTTTCCACATACGAATTCGTTCGAAGCGGTGTCATTGACCGTTGAAAATTAGATTTCGCTATAATTATGACAGGACCGATTCGACGCGCCACGACAAGATGTATCGGGGGGGATCAATATCTCTCCAAGGCATATAAATATACTGAATTGCGCAAATAATTAAAAAGTTGACTCTCGAAAGTGGGCATGAGAGGGCTTTAATGGACGTGTGGATCCACTAGGCAAGTACCGGTGACGTTTTGACGCGTGCTTCGTCGTATAAATCGCTAATGGAGCTAGAAACCCGAGCCATCTGCGATAATATAGCGGAGATGTGAAAGACCGTAGACATAGAAATACATTTAGTGCTTCTTTCGATATCGCATTTCCCATAGACGATTCTGTCCCCTATGTTTACTGCTGCGAAACTTGAGAAGTGGTTTTTTTATCATCAATTATTTTATGTGTTTATAAGATGGTGTCCCGTATAATTGCCGCAATAAAGGAGAGAAAAACGTCTAGGCGCGAATGTACAAATAACTCGGAGCTTGAGTAAGCAACATTAAAACCGATTTTCGAGATTTAGTCCTAGCAATATATTTCGGAGGAAATTGAATTTCGTCCGTATTAGCAAGATCCGTGTAAGACGAAAAATGTAACCGCTGATTACACGTGAATTTATTTGTAGTGAAGATTCAATTTTTCTCTTTTGTAATAATCTCGCGCGACACATACTTTTTTAGGAATAATTAGGAATTCACAATTCTGCGCGATTTTCATATCTTGCCTTTAAATTAGGTATTTATGGTATTTATGATACTTAGATATTTATTTTATACATTATACATATATTTGCGTACATTAACATTAATATTGCGAAAAAAACGTAGCTTTTTTTTATGCGCACATGTTCATACCTATCATCATTTGTTTTGGCTGTCATAATTTTGGATCGCTTCCAAATCTTGTCACCGAGTAAAAAATTATCCAAAATTTTCTGTGTAAACGTTCTTCTTAAATCTAGTCCATCGAACGATGAAAAATATTTAAATATTTGCGATTGTACATATACAGGTAATGAGAATTTAATAATTTAATGATTTATGTTTATGTTATATTTTACATCTGAAGTTAAAATTCTGAATCAAAATCGCGATGAATGAAACGTGTGATTCGTATATTATTTACATTTTATAATATATAAATTGGGAAATTTGTTAAACTATGTTGATGTATTTACAATGAGTTATTATAGAAGATATTTATTAATACGTAATGTTTCCACTGTTGCTTTTAACTGAATGAAAAATTGTTTAAATTGGATATTTCAGATACTACACATTATGTTTACTTAATAAATTATTCACGTGTGCGGTTGATTGATATATCCGAATAAAATCTGTGTTGATATAATTGCGTGATATTAAACGTGGGATATAAAATCAATGATCACCTTGTTTCATTAAGCTCGAAGATAAATAAAAATTCCGTTATATTCTTTATTATTTATATTTACGTGATTAATATTGGATATTCGCGCGTATTGTCGACGATGAAAATAACCACAGATTTCGATCTTAATTTGTTTGCGATTGAGATTGACGATTATGTGAAGCGTAAAATCGCGTAAACAAATAAGGAGCAATTAACAAGTGTGCCTCTCGTCGCTTGTCGGGAAACTTTGGTCAAGACTTAAACATTAATTTAATGACAGTTTAATGTGTTTGCGCCTTGGCACGACGCGCGAAAAGCGACCAGTTATGATGTTGGAACCAGGCTTATGACATGCTCGGATAAGCCAGCTGTATATTATAACGGGGCATTTAATATCGACTCCCTCCTCCTCTCTCTCCCTGCCCTTTTTCTATCTTTATTATAATAATATATCCGATATATATCCAAAGGTAAAGCAATGTTCGTGTTCGAATCGTTCCGATCGAGGGCGAATGAAAAATAAAAACGAAATAATTCAACCGACGTACAAGAATTTATGAAAGCTCTAAGATGTACATTCAATTATAAGCTGTCAAGGAAAATTTAAAGCGGATGGATTATGGCTCCGTCGTATACGTTTGTTACCAGAAATCCACGCGTCGTTAAAACTTCGTAACTGGAACACCTGTCGAATATTCAACGCTGTTCCGGCGTTTCGTTATCGAGAAGTTGTACCACTCGTAGTTTCGGTAGATTGATGGAACAAGGAGCGTCGTAAAAATAGGAAATAACTAGACTTACAATATATAGCCGACAACGGGAGAAATAATATTGAACACGTGCCAGCAAAAGCTGTAAACTCATTAATACTTTAATAGGATATAAAAACAATAATAATCTGATACGCGCGCGCGAAAGAAATGATAAATGAACCGTATTGCCTGTTTCTATTTTTGTCGCTGATTTATTATCTTTCATTATTCGTATTTATCTGTCTTACGATCTCGCTCATTCTTTCTGCATCACTAATGAAATTGCAAACGACAAATGCTGTATGCTCGATCAAATTGATTTGATAATTCTATCCGTGTACATACAAGATGAGGAGGAAAAAGCGAGAAATAACGTTTCACGTTATTTTCACGATGTAGCTCGCTTATTCGAATGATAAATCTGTCGAGTGCCCGTCAGCGTATAATCCATCATACCTCACTCCGCAAGAAGCTCCGACAAATTTCGGTGTACGCCGTTTCTACAGATTATATTGAATCCGATTAGCCATTAAGATTCGGATCTTGGAAAAGCTCAGGCTAATTCGGAGTCACGCGGCGGCTCAAGCGACAGCGCGCCAGAAGATCTTTACGAAAGCGCGACAGACACGCAGTCGGGGGATCCCCCCGACGTCGGGGAGCATCCGCGGGGAGACGGTGCAAAAGGTGGACCGGCGCGAAGCCGCGACAAAGAGAGAGAGAAAGAAAGGGAAGCCGCGCAGGCGCCGATCCAATGCTCGTGGAGAACGCTCGTCGTCCGCGTGGCGCGAGTTAGAACTTGACTTGGTGCTTTTAGTCTTGGCCCGTCCCTTCGTCCATCCCCGTCCTTGCCGGGCGAGAGCCGCCCCACGGGGGCGAACTATTGTCCGAGGGGAGATATGTGTCTGGACCGGTCGCGGGAAGAAAGACGGCGGCGCCGATTCCGCTCGATTCGCAACCGGCGAACCGTTGACAAGCGATAAAGAGTACCACGCGTCGCTCCCACGTGCCTTCCACGAGTTTGCAGCAGCGAAAGTGAGAACTCACCGGGACAAAGTTAATGAAGTCTCCGACGGAATTTCTCGAGGATTGTCTTTCGCGTAAACATTCGCAAACAGAAGATAACGTATCAAATCAAAGAAGTAACAGGAGATAATCTTTCTACTGGAGTATAAAAAAAATATCGAGGAAAATCTAAAAGGTGGATATATATTATCGGATTTCGATCGATGCTCTTGATCGCGACATGTCGCAGGAGATTCTACCCCGTCGAGAAGCACCCTCGATCGAGACGAACGACGATCGCAGCTCAAAGAAAAGTACTCGTGCTCAGCGTCGATGGCGCATCCTTGCCAGGGCACTGACAGGTTCGCCGGAGCCGATCGGCAGCGAGTCCGACGAGGAGGTGTCGGTGAGGCGGTTCACCAGCTTCGGTCTGCTGGAATGCGCGCCGTTGGTGAACGCACCAGCGGACGGCGAGTCCAGATGGTGCGAGTACTCGGCCCGTCTGGACGGCCGGTCGTACAACGTGCAGATACGTCGAATAAGCAAGTGCTTCACCGCGAGCGAGCTGATCGGCTTCAATAACACCGGCAACGTGTGCGTCTGGCCGTCTGAGGAGTGTCTGGCCTACTACCTGCTGAGGAACCGCGGTCTCTGCCGGAACCGTAGCGTCCTCGAACTCGGCGGCGGGATGAGCTGTCTAGCCGGCGTCCTTATCGCCAAGTATTGCAATCCCAGTGCCGTGACGCTCACGGACGGCAACGTGACCAGCGTTGACAACGTGCGCTGCATCGTCACCAGGAATGACATGACGCATCTGGTAGAATGCGGCGTCGTGCAGTGGGCCCGGGCCGCCAGGGCCCTCAGACAGGCGGCGGTCAATGGCAACCGCGTTAAGGTGAATGTCCACTTCGAGATATCTCTCTCTCTCTCTCTCTCTTTCAAATTAGTCTGGGATTACTCTCGAAACTGTGGGCGCGCGATTAAAATAGCACGCGCTTAGACCGTAAAATCGACAAACATGCGAGAATCAATAAGAATTGCATTAGGAATTTTCAAACTTTATTTCGAGGAGATACTCGATAGATCGTAGATTGTTTCTTTAATTATTCTGATAAGTTTGGTAATTTATGTATCTATAAAACTTTCTTCTCTTTTATCGATTATGTCTCTTCTGATCGTAGATGGTGCGCGATATTTTCTTTTTAAAGTATCATAAATATTAATTCAACATTTTTATTTTCTCAATATGAAACATGTTTTCATTGCTTCTCGATAAGTCGTATTCCATCAGATTGCTGTGAACAGAGGGCCGCCAGCGCGTAATAAAACACGTGTGGAAAAAGCATATTCTCAAAGCAACATCGGAGCGATATTGAAGCTTGACGAGAATACTGCAGCAGTAGCACGTGCGGTTACACAAAGAAGCCGGAAATTAAATATTGAGGATATTAATGAAAAGAGTATTTTTTTAGCTTTCACACATTACGTGGCATAGGCCTATGCCTTTATTAGAATTTTCAATAAAAATCCAGTCGCGTCGTTAACCAAGAGTAGAGAATAAATTAATAATTATCGTAAACTATAATAAGAAATATATCTTGCGTATCGAAATTTTTTATATAAAACGCATCCTTTTTTTTTTAATTTTTGATCTTTTAAATTTCAAGTAACGTGTACGGATTTTGGGAATGTATCATGGAAATGCGAAAAACATTAAGCGTCCGCATTTGTATGAGTTCCGAGAATCTGCAAGTGACATTGGGATTTGAAGGGTCAACCTTGCTGATCGCGGCCGCCAGAATTCAACGTGGTCGTCGGCTCCACGGTCGAATAACGCGTCTCGTAAACTCCCAAGTTCGACGTGATCCGCATCGGTGATGAGGACGATGACGACGAGTCGATACGCCTGGTTTCGCGGTTGCACGTTCTTCACGTCATCCACGATCAATGAGTCATCGCGGTCATCGCGAGTCGATGAATGGAAAAATTGAGGCCTTATGCCGTAAAATAATCGCAATTCTAGAACAGATGGCGATTTGCGATCTCGCGACGACGAGTAGTAGTCCGTTATTTTCATACAACGCGAAGAAGCTTCCTCGAAGTCGGGAAAATTTAAAGATACAAGAAAGATTTCGACAATTTGGTAAAATGATAAGTTGGAGTAATCTTTTTTAACTTATGACATTTCCGTGAAATATATTGTGGAATAGATACCGTGCGAATAAAATGTGTTTCACGAAGCACGTGTTAGGGTCATAGAGTCACGTAACGGAGACACGTGCTATCGTTGCATATTTCGAAATACATCATATCATAATACACCTGTCACCCAATTTATCTAGGGAGTATCTTTGAAAAGATATATAGAAAGAGAACCTATCTCTAATATAAATTAGAGTTATGCTTCTAATTTATCTTGGATAAAAGTTTCATTCATATTTTTAAATGATAAATTAATATCGGAAATTAGTTTTTATAGAATCTTCCTGTAGATTAAATATTCAATATACATTTATTTGCTATGTATTTCTTATGTAAAATATTTATGAAACTGTTTCAATATCGCTCTATTTTATTAAATTTTTATATTGCATATCGCCTAAAAAGATAAAAAAAGATGGGTAGGTAGATAGAAAATATATATTTCATATATATGTATCCTCCTTTCCCGGGTATAAATGTACCCACATGGAAGTGTAGAATCCCCGCGTGATCATTGTGATACCCGGGTCGGATATATGGACGCACCATTCGGACATTTCCGGCTAAACCTCAGCTCCATTTCCGGCAGCCTCCATAATGTAGCCTCTGCGTTCTTCCGGTAGCTCGTAACGTTCCGCACGATCTTTTTCGTGGGAAATTTTCGCTTGGCCGGGAGCGATCAGGATTGTGCACCGTCGAAACAAAATCGAAGATTGTTCGAACGATTGATCAAGATTAATTGCAAAAACGAATATTCGACTTTACTCGTCTACCTACGCGAAAACTATCTTCGCATTTATCTGAAAAATCTGACGTTGAACTATTGAACGTTTTTTCAATGTATCTGACATTTGCGATTGGTTTCTCTAATCTTATTTTTTTTTTCAGTTTATTTATTAAAGACCATATATGAGGTTTAATTTGATTCATTTGATTAATTTGATTTTCGTTATTTTATTCGCGAATTTAATTATTTTATTGATCAACTTAAAACCACATAAATATATCGCGGATAAGTTTCAAAGTACACATTTTTCAGAGATTTATATCCGTTCTCTTCTCGAATCGTTCTTTACGCGAGAGAGGAATATCTTTCGTACAATGGATTACTTCTTCTGCAATAAAATACAAAAAAATACGTTATTCTTTCACAATATTTTAGATGATTATAATATTGTCTTCAGATTACAAGAAATAACAATTCTTATAATTAACTTTTTCGACTTTAATGAGATTTCAAAGATATTAGAAGTTATTAAAAAAGAATTATTTCAAAAGTCTTGAAATGAGGACGATGACGACGAGTCGATACGCCTGGTTTCGCGGTTGCACGTTCTTCACGTCATCCACGATCAATGAGTCATCGCGGTCATCGCGAGTCGATGAATGGAAAAATTGAGGCCTTATGCCGTAAAATAATCGCAATTCTAGAACAGATGGCGATTTGCGATCTCGCGACGACGAGTAGTAGTCCGTTATTTTCATACAACGCGAAGAAGCTTCCTCGAAGTCGGGAAAATTTAAAGATACAAGAAAGATTTCGACAATTTGGTAAAATGATAAGTTGGAGTAATCTTTTTTAACTTATGACATTTCCGTGAAATATATTGTGGAATAGATACCGTGCGAATAAAATGTGTTTCACGAAGCACGTGTTAGGGTCATAGAGTCACGTAACGGAGACACGTGCTATCGTTGCATATTTCGAAATACATCATATCATAATACACCTGTCACCCAATTTATCTAGGGAGTATCTTTGAAAAGATATATAGAAAGAGAACCTATCTCTAATATAAATTAGAGTTATGCTTCTAATTTATCTTGGATAAAAGTTTCATTCATATTTTTAAATGATAAATTAATATCGGAAATTAGTTTTTATAGAATCTTCCTGTAGATTAAATATTCAATATACATTTATTTGCTATGTATTTCTTATGTAAAATATTTATGAAACTGTTTCAATATCGCTCTATTTTATTAAATTTTTATATTGCATATCGCCTAAAAAGATAAAAAAAGATGGGTAGGTAGATAGAAAATATATATTTCATATATATGTATCCTCCTTTCCCGGGTATAAATGTACCCACATGGAAGTGTAGAATCCCCGCGTGATCATTGTGATACCCGGGTCGGATATATGGACGCACCATTCGGACATTTCCGGCTAAACCTCAGCTCCATTTCCGGCAGCCTCCATAATGTAGCCTCTGCGTTCTTCCGGTAGCTCGTAACGTTCCGCACGATCTTTTTCGTGGGAAATTTTCGCTTGGCCGGGAGCGATCAGGATTGTGCACCGTCGAAACAAAATCGAAGATTGTTCGAACGATTGATCAAGATTAATTGCAAAAACGAATATTCGACTTTACTCGTCTACCTACGCGAAAACTATCTTCGCATTTATCTGAAAAATCTGACGTTGAACTATTGAACGTTTTTTCAATGTATCTGACATTTGCGATTGGTTTCTCTAATCTTATTTTTTTTTTCAGTTTATTTATTAAAGACCATATATGAGGTTTAATTTGATTCATTTGATTAATTTGATTTTCGTTATTTTATTCGCGAATTTAATTATTTTATTGATCAACTTAAAACCACATAAATATATCGCGGATAAGTTTCAAAGTACACATTTTTCAGAGATTTATATCCGTTCTCTTCTCGAATCGTTCTTTACGCGAGAGAGGAATATCTTTCGTACAATGGATTACTTCTTCTGCAATAAAATACAAAAAAATACGTTATTCTTTCACAATATTTTAGATGATTATAATATTGTCTTCAGATTACAAGAAATAACAATTCTTATAATTAACTTTTTCGACTTTAATGAGATTTCAAAGATATTAGAAGTTATTAAAAAAAGAATTATTTCAAAAGTCTTGAAAGGTTGTTTTACTCCTTTAAAATCGTTTTTTATCCGCCACGGAAAATAATTATAAGTTTTATTCGAGCCATACCTTATACATTAATACAAAGTTTCCACTTTCTCACGAGTTTGGTAAACTTTTTTTAAGTACTTTGCAAATGCACGTGGCGAATCTTATTCTGCAAATATTATTTGATTTTGATGGAAGCGATACTCGTATTCCGATTTGAATCGACATTCTCGAATACACGTAGTGGCTTGATCCCATTTCTAGCGCCAGACTGAAATCTGGATTCTCGATTGTGATTTTTCGATGTAGACGCGGACGATCATCGGCGACGAGGACGAGCGACTGCCTTCGGGTTTTTACGACGTGATTCTGAGCGCAGACTGTCTTTTCTTCGACGACGCCCGATTGGATTTGGTGGAGACGATCTACGGCTGGCTGGCCGACGACGGGGTCGCCCTAGTGATGGCACCCAGACGCGGCACGACATTCCAGATGTTTGCCGAGGCGTCGATCAAACGCGGTTTCATAGCACGACAGACGGAACTGTACGACGATACGGTGTGGTCGCGGCATCTGGAGCTGCTGCAAAACAATTCGGAATACTGCCCGGATCTGCACTATCCGGTGTTATTAGAGCTCACGAAGCAGAAGAAGACGCCGCCCGGATGATCGAGCTCGATCGACGATGACGAGGACAACCAGCCGGACGGGAGTCTCGGCGAGGAATGAAAATGCGTTCGTTAACATGTTTTTTGATACGGACCGTTGATACGGACCTTGTTCGCGCACATAGAGTTAAGTGAAAAGATTGAATATATCGCGTGAAGGAAGAACACATATAATAAAATATAAAGGTGCATATAAGACTGCCTCTATGTCGTCCGACAATGTCAAGGCCGGTTTTTTATTAGTCATCTGATGAAACGTTTAGTGCTCGCATGCACTTACGGATCGATCTTCTGCTGGTACGCATCGTTCCGCATCGTCGCCGTTATCGGGAAAGTTCTGTAAGGAAGACTTTCCGTGCGAGAATCAAGCTTGAACCGATGCCCGACCTACCCCTCGTTAATTAACCCCTGAGTGTTTACGGTAGATATCTGATATTTTATGGATAAATGCGTATATAGATGGAAGTACAAATATATCGAAATTGTATTTGTGCTTTTAAAACATCGGTTTATTTATTTGCACTCAATTGCACATAGTTATTTCAACAGAGATATTTATTTTTATTCAGAGCGTGTGTGTTTTATAGCGCGGAGATAAATGATACGCCGTGTGATATATATATATAACGAACTATAATCCTTCGCTTTAAATTAATCCAAAATATTGCGAGAGGCCCGCAGATATTATTTTCATAGCGGGTGATACTTTTGGTATCAATTTACATGCAATATATATTTGGAAATAAAAAACGAATGCCAATGGCAAGTCGAAATTTTCAAATAATTGAACATTCTTTAATGGGGCAGAAAAAAAATTCATATTTACGATTATATCTTTAAAATATATTTATATCGTAGCATACATCGGGCGATGAAGATTATATTATAGAATAGAGCCAGAAATTGGTCGAAGATTAAATAATATTCAGGGATATTAAATCGGCAACATATATTAATCTTCTAATAATAAGATATATTTATAATTCACAAATATTTCAAAATAGATCATACTGTTTATTATATCTTATATAATATTCTTCATCCGGGGTTGAGATGCGACTCTTAATAGGGAGACTCTTTTTAGACGTACCTGATTTTATATCGAATTGAGAATAGAAACATCGGAAAGACGATTGATGTCATTTATAATACGACAATGCGATATCGGCAATTTCATCAATCATTGATTAAGATTTCAATTCTAAATAAATGGTTCGAGATACTTCTCGAGTTCCTCATTCTTTGCAGTTGACAGGACCAATCGTGTGAGATCGAAGTGTTTAGATACAACTGAAGTATAATTGATAGATTGTATTGTTTCCACAGTGTATTCTATTAATTGCGTCAAAAGACATTTCCGTATTCTTGGATAAAGAGAGAGAAAAAAAAGTATCAATATTATCAATTAAGAATTAACGCTATTTGGGTCCAAAAATAAAGCGAAGCCGGGCAGAAGCAGAATATTAACGATTGCCAATTCAGCGATATAGACGCTGGATCCAAACGTAAATAAAATATTAGTTGTTACGCTTGTTACTGTAGGCACAGATATAGATCGTTATAATCGAAACAAATGTAATCGCAGGATAATTTTAAGGAGACTTGTAAAAGAGCGATTCTCTTACAGAGGTCGATTTTGTCTTGGTTACATTGTATATTATGTGTGTGATGGTTTATTTATTTATTTATTAAGAAATTCTCTCGTATGTGTGTGTATAACTTTGTGACAAAATAATTCTCAAGTATTTCTTAAGTATATCCCGCGTTCCAAGAAAAAAAAGAAAGAAAAAGAAAAAAAATATTTTACCTCAAAGGACCAATCTATACGTATACATAGTTAAAAATCTAGTCAACAGAATTGCCAAACTCCCACTCATACGTACCTCCTTACATGGTTTTAGTGTCCATAAAATCTCTCTCTACTCGTGTAAAAAAGGAATTGTAATTAAGTAATAGGAGCAATTAAATTATTACATTACGGAATAAAAAACTAATTTCATCAAAAAATCGATCATGTTTTTTTTCTAACGTCCGATCGTCTTTTTCCAGCAATCTTCCAGAGATCAAAATTGCTATAATTGCTAGTCGATATTTTTCCGATGTTGTTAATCCACGTAGCTAGATGGGGAATTTATGGAATCTTCGTAGCTCGCGAGAGAGCCATTTGTGTACATGTGCGTATAAAAGAATCTTCCTAGTAATAAATTATTTTCACATAAAATGTCGCGTTTTTTTCTCGTACACTTACGGAGATAATACAATTGTCACGTTATGCTCGCGTCGCGTGACGATAAAAACGCCATTGACAAATCTACAACGACGCGATCCATGTCAGAATAAATAATACTGTTTAACGTTCGTTCAAACACATCCTGCTTTCCTCTGTCTGTCGCGTAATAGTTATATTTGCCCGTCTCGATTCCGTCTGTGTAATCGACTATGTACGTAAGTATCCGTCTTCTCTTCCTCTTTCTGCACATTTGCCAGAACCTGACGCAATCATCGCCTGGGTTTTGTCCGCTTGGTTTCTAGCGTCAAGTTAGATTGAGTCAGGTGTTTCTTAGAAGTTTTTAAAAGGCATGTGTTTTCAGTCTATAGTTTTGGCTTTACATTGATAATTTACGTTGCGATTTATGTAACGTATCAGACATCCAAGAATAAAGCAAAATATCCAATAATAGATCACGTTTTCAAGAGTCAATACATTCCAGCAGAGAATATTTTTCATCTATGAGAGTAAAATATTTAGGTTTCAGTATTTAAAACGAAATAAAAACGTTGCACTTTTTGTTTTTCAATCTATAATTAAACTCAGTATCGGAATTGTCAATTATAATAAAATTCCAAATTGACGAAATAAAGCGAAGTTAATAATGGAAAAAAAAATTTTCACTGAATTAAATATAATACAATTGAACAATTAATTTTGCTAATAAATACAAAGATCTTAATTTGCAGGTTTAATCTGATTTAAAAGTTACATCTGATTGCTGAAATATAAAAGTGGAAATTCTGATAAATGATTGTGATTAGCAAATGCGTTTCGTAACGAATGATACAGCAGAATATAAATTGCTCAGGAAAGCAAAATCAATCTCAAGAACGAGTGTCGGGTATAATACCGTTTGCTAATTTATTTTATCATCTGCGAAATATGTTATATGTACGTTATATTTTGTTTCGGCTTAACATGTTATTTCGTGTAATGTGCGATATGAAGTTATAAATTTGATCGCTCTAGATTCGGTGTTTATGCAGAATTCGTCTCGTTAAATTATATCTTTACGTTTACTGCTTATTTTAGGACTATTAACACTTGTCGGAGACGAAAAGATATCTTCAAACAAGAGCACAATTTCCTCGTGACGACTATATCTGCGTTATAAAGTCACATATTTTTTAAAAGTATGTAAATATTTCAACGTGTTATTTCATTTAAATGTATTTCATTTAAATGTGTCTCGAAACAGATGCCAATTGAGACATGTTATTATCGATACGTAATTAACAGGTGCGATATTAAGGTACTATTGTCATGTAACTGATATTTAGTCATGACTAATCGCGATATAATACCTTAGGGTCGATGCATACTATTTTTAGGCCTGAACGTTTCATGTTGTCACGCTTACAGCATTCGTAATTATTTTCACCGCCGTGGTAGAGCTATAAAAAGGGAGAACACGCGTCAGCGATTCGTTTATATAATTAGATACTTTTTCCGTCGCGCGGCCTCATTAAAATCAGTATAACTAAGTGCATGCGTCCGGGTTGATCGATTGCGGTAAGTAAATTTCCATTGCGTCCACACAGAAGTGACTACCACGTCGCTGAGAATAGATTTTTAGCCTGGCTATACGGGATTTTAAAGTACGTAAGTGCACTCGCCGCCCAAGTGCATCGCCCAACAAAGGAAACAGCTGATCGGGATCGAACCTTAAAGAGCTTCTTATAAGCGTTCCTTCGACAAAAACCCCGGAATGTATTAATCGCACTGTCATCAGTCAACGTTCGCTATATTTAATCTCACATTTAGCGACAGCGATTATGTAATTAAAACGGAACGAATATTTCAATTATTACTGGTATTAATTTAGCACGAAAGAATTTGAGTTAAATTACGCGTGAAAATTCTCCGTAAAGGGAAATTTATGGATTAAACTATGTACGAAAAAATCAGTCTCGGAATAACTAATAATTGCTTTTCGGGCAATAAAATCAATAGAGCGTGTACTGTTGGCAAATAATATTAAATTAAAAACAAAATAATAATTTTTATATGCAATCGTGTAAAGTAATCTGTATGCTTTATAAATTTTAAATTTATTCAGGAGTGTTGACTCACGGAATTATGTTTTACTGAAACAGTAGTTGGCTCATCTTTACGCGCCGTAGCCTCGATTCATTAAATAGCTAAGATACCATCAGAAAATTCGAAGCTAGAGGTGTGAAAATATAACGTGAGGATTATTAACGTGCGAAATGGGATATCGCGAGGAGATCTTTGTAAGGAGGTCAGAACGTCTATAGGGAAACTGCAACGACTCCGTCGCGAGCTCGTTAAGAAAGCCGTTTTATTGGACACACAACGACGATCAGATTTTTTTTTTCTCGCACGACGCGATGCAAATAATACAAACTTAAGTTTGCAGCCATCGTTGCGCGTTCGCATAATTTCCAACATAAATTTCCCTCTACGAAACTTTCCCGCCGGTATCTTCGCGCTTGGCACTGCAACGTTAAACAACCGTTCGGTTGTTTTACGGCCGACAGATTCGGCCAAAGTAACGGCCGCCTCTATGGCTTTATATATTTTACGAAGCTCATCAGTATACTGTGTGATCAACCTGTATCTTACATTGTCCTTCTCCCGTAAAAATAGAGATTTATCGATGAATCTTTTTATTTTATATTCTATTTTTATATAATAATTTTAAATTTAAGACTATACTTTAAAACAAAAGCGGAATTAAATTAAGGATTATCTCCGTTTAATTAATTCCCTAATAAAAACTTTACTTTGAATTAATTAATTTTAGATTTATGTCTCTTTCTCTCTCTCTTTCTTATTTATATAATTTTAATCATTAAAATATTTTAAGTAGTTAGTGTTTATAGAACCAATTTTTAAAGATTAAAAGTATGACTATCGCTGTAATTATTTAAAATTGCTAAAATATTAGTATTTCTTCTAAGCGTCCATATGTCTGAAATTCGTCAAAAATTGAAGCGATGATGATTCATGGAAAATAATTTTTATGATTGGCAACAAGCAGCGCTAATATTTATTAGTAAGACAGGCGCTAATGGATCCAAAACGTAAATAAAACAATCGCGGCTTTCCATGTTTTCGAGGTATCGCAAGAAAACGGAACTTGACTAGCGGAATTGAACGGCGTCACGGCGTGATATAACGTGCCCGCCACGTGTTAATAATATTTATTTCGACATCGAACCCTCATTTAAACGCCCGTGTAACATGTATAAACGCGGCGTCGAGAAATACTCCAAAAATAACACGGCATGGGCCCTTCGACGAACGGCTGCCGATTATTTTACGACCGTCTTTGTTTCGTCTCGCAGCCGGGACTAATTGGACGGCCTTTATATAAAAGGAGCCCCAAGTGTGTCGTTTGTATATTTTTTTTATTTTTTTTTTTTTTAGTGTAGGAGAAGTTTATCTTATCAAAACTTTAGTCCTTTCCCTTAATGATCAAAATTACAAACTTACGACAAATGACCGCGTTCTCATCGAGTTACGTGAAACAAAAAATTCGACCGAGTTTAGACTCGCGATAGAATTTAATTAAAAGGTTACTGGTTGTTGGTTTTATCTAGAATTTTAGTATCATATATACAATTAAGTTTCACTATCGTTTCGTCCACCGTTTCCCGGGCGCGTTGTTACGAGGCGCATCATTTCAAGGCGCATCGTTCTATGGTACAGCTTACAATTTCGGGACGAAACCGTTTTCCCCCCCCCCCCCCTCCCCCGAGTGTCTCTTATCTCGCTCGAATTATCCGCCATTACAGTAAATTCCGTTGCCACGCACGTGGGAATTCCGGAAGGTCGCAGGACATTGGATAAACCGTCTAGCCCATTCCCGCTGAGATCGCAATTTATACAGATATGAAATTACACTCACTGACGATTTCGCGAAAAAGCAGAGCAATCGATCAACTGAATTTGCATGCCAAAATTACGTTATGCTGTTCGAATTGCAATTTGTAAAAAAAAAAAAAAAAAAAAAAAAAAAAAAAAAAAAAAAAATACTTTATCCGATTTTACGCGACTGAACTTTTCGCTCTCTTTTCAAAAAAAAAAAAAAAAACAAACATGTTTTATAAATAGCGATTTGCAGTAAAATAATAGCGATCGCGGTGTTTCTTAATTAATAAAGTACGATGTTGAAATTATTTTGTCTTATTTAGATCTAATTGATCAGTATTTCGAAGAACTGACTTGGCAGTTGTCTTGATTTTTCGATACATTTTTTGCTCAATTTTCTCGATTTTCGACTATTTTTTAACAATTATTCCGCATAATTATTGCCATTGTCTTAACGCTGATCAATTATTCGTAATTTCGGACGTTTTCAATGAGATTCTTCGCGTCGAACAATTTCCGACGAGTGCATGCGTCATTGTTTGCATTGTTACGACCTATAAACCTATATATCGACAGGACGCGATTGCGCGGGACGTTAAGTGACGTTGATTGTTATCAATGAATGCGCGATGATGCTCGTCGACGACATACATTATCCTGATATATCGTTTATCATTGCTTGCGGATTTAATATTTACGTGCGCTACATATATGCACGCATATTATCTACAATACGCAAGGGATGCATATAAACGCATTTCAACAATACAATCTTGCATGACAATAGAAGGCATTTTTATGTTGCAATTTAATTTTTCTTTTCCCTTTTGTTTTCTGCAACATCCTTAATTATATACATATCTTTTTTTAATCACGGCATATCTTTTTTTTTATATAATAAAGAGTAAAAAGTCTTTTATATATTTTTTACGTATAATCAGACGCGATTATGAATGCAAATCATTTTAAATTTTAAATAGGACCCAACGTGTAGAGCTTTTATTCGTTTTCGAGACTAACTTATCCGAATAATTTATCCGGATTGTTGAGGTTTTCCTCATACTTATTAAATTAGGCGGGAATCGAGGTTCGAGAGCCCTTTATCTCTCG